CATTATGCAAAGCAAGTATGCAGTACTTGAAGTAGCAGGCCTAGAAAAGTGTTTTATTCTATATTCTACAATACATACATGATATGCACAATAACTCGGGACCTGGAAACAAGTTGCATCAAAACAAGGCTGGTAGCCAGATGCCAAATTGTATAATTTGAGGCATTATGCATAGTGTGTATAGAACTGCATTGTTTCATAAATCTTCACAGTATCAGTTGCTAACTTGCTATGACCAGCTTCACCACAGATTTTGTAATTTTTAGCTGTTTTCATGAATCATGACATTATCAATTAGGTTCGAATTTGTTTGCAAGCAGCAGTCCTTGTATTCAATTTTTAATTTAATTTAATATAAACATTGATATGAAACAAAGAGAAACTAAAAAGCTTGCTAGGAAATTATAGATTATTTACTATTAAATTTAGCACTTTAATAACTATTTTAATTAACGAAATTTCGAACCACAATGATATATTAAATGATAACCAACGGTCATAATACTAAAATTAATGCCCAACTTACTTGCTTTGGAAACGTAAATAAATGTAAATGACAATGATTCCTCTGTATAAAACTGTATTATTGTTGAATAATATATATTCCTATTTCCTATCAAGCTTTTATATTCAGAATTCACTGCCTCTCATTAACACTAACACTAAGTATTGCAAGCAGATTATAATTTTTCCGCTGAAGGGAGCAATATTTTCAACATCTGTTCCCAGACAGCATCGCGCCCCCCTGGTAAACGGAATCTTCCTTCCCATCATCGCGCAATTCCTCTGCGGTCGGGGGGGGGGGTCTACGCAGTCTATAAGTCAGAATCATTCGATTCCGCAAACGCAATATGGCGGGATATGCATCGACATTTTAAAGTTTATTATGATATTAAAATGAGATTCAAAAAGCCTTGTCACTACAGATTGTTTCTACTAAATTTAATGTTGGTCACAGACAGACAAGCACGGTATGTTTACTACAATATTCACCTTTAACTTTGCTTTTACTGTAAATCTATATTTTCAATGCAATTTTTCGTGAATTTTGTGAATGTGATTGTGTATTAAAATATTTCTCCTAAAATTCTGCGCGTATCGTTGGTTCAGTAGTTCTGTTGCCGGTTGTATATAAAAACAGTTCAATGAATAACTTTGCAGTTTGAGCTGTTGATATCATAGACACCTTTATACTATAAGTATAACAGTATTTTAGTAAAGTTTGATAGTCATGTGATAGCTGTATAAAAGCTAAGCAAGTACTTTTGATGTTTTGATATCATTGTATAGTTGAAATAGAATAGATAAGTGATCTGCATATTAGTATATATGGGAATATTAATTTTCAATCATACTTGGCAGTTGGGTCTGTTATATATTATGTTCAATTATTTTCACTGTGATTTATTAAATACTGGGTATTACTGTATATGCCTGCTAAGCCCTGCTTACTGTATTAAAGTATAGTAGTTGGTGGTATTATTTGATCAATACTGCTTTATGGCAGTACATAGAATGTAGTAAATTAAAAATATGATAACATTTCAGATAATCAGGCTTACATACTTGTATGTTGATGTCAGCTGCAATGGGTCGTTCCAGAAAAGATCCACAATCCCCCCACGGAGGAAATTTCTGCCGTCTGGAGGGGGAGGGGAGACAAAATTTTTTCTGATAATGTAAATGTATTAGGACATCGGAAGGGGGTAGGGGGGGGGGTTAACTTCCAATTTCCTCCGTGGGGGTGGTATGGATTATTCCTGGAATGACCCAATAATGCGAAAGTCATAGAATATATAGTGAGTATTGTGAGTCTAAAGAATTTTGATTGACAGTATTTGTATTTTACTGATGTGAAACTGTGCCGGTTTTTATTGCAAAATAGCGCGAGTTTAGGCGAGTTAAGTAAAATTCTGTCAACTTATCATTGCGAGATAAGGCGAGATTGGGCGAGTTAGCAAAATTTGATCAATTGCTATTGCGAGATAGGGCGAGATAAGGCGAGTTAGGGCGAGTTAATGTCCCAGAGTCGGCCTCACTTTAGCATTGACAAAGTCAATTACATGATCTTGAGTCCATGCGTGTTTTGCAACATTCGATCCCTTCTTGCTTTGTTTTACATTCCTGACGTGTTCAGACTTTCTCGTCTTCAGGAATCTTCCTGTTTCGCCTATGTAGCTCCAACTACAATCTTGACAAGGTATTTGGTAGACTACGTTCTTCTGCTCTTCAATTGGTGGTTTCTGTTTTGCAGATGGAAACTGGCGTTCGAGGGTTTTCACTGGCTTATTGTAAACCTTGATGTCTTGTTTTGTTTTTATAGCATAGATAGTCTCATATTTCATACCACCTACTTAAGTTTAGCGTCCTTTATAGAATCATTTATTGTACAGGGTGTATAAAAAAAAGCGCAACCTCGGAATTTCCCAAGAAATCGACATTGTTTTAAAGACAAAAGATTTTAGGCGCCTGGGAATTTAAAATAGCATAACTGTCAAAATTACTGCACACGCGAGTGCATAAAGCAAAATTTACGCATTTATTTAATGCACAACAACAGTAATATGATCTATTAGCAATTCGCTTTCAATTCCCAGGGGTCTAAAATCTTTTATGCTTAAGAATTGCAAAATGATTTCTTAGGAAATTCCGAGGTTGCGTTTTTATTGATACACCCTGTATATAGCCGAAAGCTCGTAGAAATAAATATTATGTCAGAGAACGTTCATTAAATAATGTTTCAACCTTTTTCAACAATTTAATTGTTAGAATTTGAAGCCTTAGCACTCTGTTGGTTCACACGAGTGCATAAATGATTGACATAAGTAAATTTTATGCATATAGAAACTATTTAAGAAGCTGTTCAAAATTCCCAAGAGCAGAAAATCGCCCACTTTACAAGGAGATGTCCTTAACTAAATTTTAATACATGCACCTTGTCAATATTTTACGCATCATTACGTTCAGCTTTTTGGTAGGGCATTCAATTTTAACAATAAGTGATTTCAATAGTTTTCGGGGTTTTTTGGGACACCCTGTACAGGGTGTCTCAAAAAAACCGCTACCCTTAGAAATTCACCATTGTTCTAATTTGAATTCCTGAACCTTGTTGAAGCCATGAATGCGTAAACATTTTCACAGGATGCATATATTAAAGATCTTCGGAATTAAAATATCATTGAAAAGCGAAATTTTTTATCCTGGGAATTGAAAATAGGTTCATACAAAAGTATAACTGCACGAAAATCGTTCAATTACATATTAGTGAATGTCAAGCAAACGGCTCAACTGAGCACAGCGCAAAGAGTATTTATTGTCTTAAATTAAGCATAAAATTCCATTCAAATTGTTCATGCACCCATGAGTTCAAGATAGCACTCAGGCATTCAAATTAGAACAATGGTGAATTTCCAAGGGTAGCGGTTTTTTTGAGACACCCTGTATATGAGTTTCCGAAGCGATTGTCCCAAGATCGGTTTTGAAAGCAGCATGATTTAAGTTCTTTATTGAACGGAATTCAATAGATTTGGCCTTTGTTTTCGGAAGTGTTTGTTTTCTAACAACGTATATTAAGTCATGGTCACTGATTCCCAAATGATGACAAACCTGTCTGGATGAGACACTAATATGACATCAAGAAGGCTCTTGGTAGATTTTGTCACTCTAGTAGGGTTCGTTATAAGGTTTGTTAGACAAAGCTGCTCTATAAAGTTAGAAAGATCTTGATTGGGACGTTGTGAGTTATTTTGTCCAATTAGCATGTCCATATTAAAATCACCAATGAATATAATTTCTTTACGTTTGCCATACATTAGTTCGGCTGCATCAACACAAGATGGAATGAAATCCGAAATTTTACATTTTCCAGGAGAACGATAGCAAGCACACACTATAAACCAACTGTTTCCACAGCCCTTGATATCAAGACATATAGATTCTATACCTTCCGGCTCAAGGTTTACTCGCCGAACTGCGGTGATAGTTGACCGTACGTAAACAAGTATCCCCCAGCGCCTCTTTTCCTATCCCGTCGTATGATACGATATTTTGGATGTTGAAGTAACGAGTTTGACACCGAGTTGTCAATTTTACTTTCGCTAAT